AGGGGATGAATTATTCACAGGTGCAGGGGATGCACCGGATGCACCGGACACAGGGGATGAATTATTCACAGGTGCAGGGGATGCACCGGATGCACCGGACACAGGGGATGAATTATTCACAGGTGCAGAGGGTATAGATGTAGGGGATGTATCGGACGCAGGTGCATCAGACACAGGTTTAGGGGGTGTACCAGATGTACCGGATGCACCAGACACAGGGGATGTAGGGGATACATCGGACACAGCTTTAGGGGATGTACCGGATGCACCGGACACAGGGGATGAATTATTCACAGGAGGGGATGCATCGGACACAGGTTTGGACGCAGGTTTATCGGGCACAGATGTAGGGGAAGTATTAGACGTAGGAGCTCTAAATATGTGAAATATTAAATTTGGAGAATAAAATATTAAATTTGGAGAATAAAATATTAAATTTAGAGAATAAAATTTTGTTAACAAATGAAACAAAATTTAAATACTTACTTAGCAGGTGAAGGAGCGGAATTATCAGTAACGAGTGGAGCGGCAGCTGCTTTAGCATCGGAAGTTACCGGATTATTAGCATTCACCGGTGAGTTATTATTAACTGGTAACGAAGAATTAGCAATATGAGTAGTTATTGGGGTATTTATTTTTGAAGCTTTGGGGGTTACTTCCGTGGCTATTTTCTTATTAGGTGAATTAAACAAGTTCGTACCGCTAGGTGAATTCTCATTGCTTGCCGTTGAACTTTGTAATGTTCCAGGGGTTTTTGTTTTGTTTGCTATTAGCGCACCTTCACCAGCAGGAGATGCAACAGTTGAGGAAATAAGAAGAATAAAGGCAAGGAAAAGCATCATAACTGTGTTATTTCTTATTATTCTAGATCGATTCATTATTGTGAAATTTTTTACTGTTTATTTTTAAATATGGATTATTGATTATGTAGAATAAGGACTATTGAACGAATAAATGTATATGTACTTTTTTTTTATCTAAAGAAACGCAGTTTCTTCCTCTTTTGCAAACAAAATCCAACGAGCAAATTCTCTTTGATCTACAAAGAAAATTTGGAACCACCAATTTGTTAGAAATTTACAAAATGGAGATGTTAAGACTATTTATTAGAATAACGTATGTACGTACCATATTGTACAAATTTTGTGTATAATTATATAACAACGAATATTCTTGGCAAAAAATAAATCAATGTGAACCAATGAAGCTGGATGTTGTGATTATGTCGAACAAAAAAGTAAAACAAAGATTAAATTCTGGTCAGAAACAATGGCGTAGTTTACGAATAAATAATATATTATGTATTTCAGATGCTTCAGATTCTTTAATTTCTATTGTAATTTCTGTCTTAAATAGAATCATTTTTAACCATATGACAACCCATTACCAAAGATCTAGAGTTCTAATTTCACCCGAATTTTTGAAATATTTATTGGGCGTGTCTCTGTACAATTATATGGTACACTATCAAAATACTAGATATATATCATATAAATTCTGTGAAGCCATGTAAAACTTATTAGAGAATACAAAGTTTTAAATTCAAAAAATGTTCAAAATTTTATTTCTATAAATTGAAAATTGCATGCCTGTATACAGTTTGTATATTATGTCCAAACTCTTTTTCCAATCACAATCGTAATAATAATATAATGTGATAGTACGCATTCTTTTATTTTTGTCATGTTCAAACTTAATGTCCAAAATTGACCCCTGTACAACATTACCTGTCTGAAATATCTTTATAGTTCGCTCTATAAGTATAAAAATGTCACGTGAACTTTATTTATGCTTACAATAATTTAATTTATTGCGACTTGTGATTAAATAAAAACATTCTTTTAATTATTGCTATTTTTCAATCATCATAAGTAGTATCTGATGAGTAGTGTTGTTAATAGAGTGCCCCAGGCAATAATATATGTTTTATTATTGTCTGGAGTATTCCGTTAACAACTCTACAGAACTGAAGAGTGAAAAACAACCACTAAAAACTATTTCCAAGTTATCCGAAACACACTATCATTAAGGTTACCTGTTAAATAGTTTAACAGAGTTGGAAACTTGTTTGTAATGCTGCTGTATTCGGTATACTGGCTAAATCGAGATGTGATAATGTGGAAATAGCGGGCATGGGCGTTATTTCGAGAATTTACGGTAATTGGTGTTCAAACCGATCTAAAAAAAACATCATCAAAGTAACCCCGTTTGACAGGTGAACATTTTTAAGTTAAATATAATCTATTATAACGTCAAAATTTAATAAATCTGGGTAAGAGATTCAATTCCTAAGTTCTTAAGATTTTAGAAAATGTAATGTATGCATAGAATTGAATGCTCTTAAAATTACATACATTGCGAGTGAAATTCTTTATAAGTGTAAAAAAAACATTATATACTCAATCATTACCACAATAAATAATATCCGATATAATTTACAAAACAAGGTAATGTAATTTACAGTATACGAATGTGAGAAAATAGTATATTATTTGAAACGTTTTTTGACCAGAAGTGTCTATTTTTTGCTAAATTTTCTCAGTACGTATGAATGTACGAATAGTATCAGCACATTTTTGTTAACAATTAAGAGCAAACCTAATCTAAATTGTTAGCAAAATGGCTGTAAGGCCATATGAACAAACAATAATAAGTTATTGGGCAAAGACAATAGTTTTAAACTATTTTTAATTTTTGTTTCTGCCCAATAATTTTATTATTGGGCAGATAAAACATAGTAAGCTGCCGGATAATATAAATATTACAGCATTATAAGACTATATATGCTTAATACAGAATATGAAATTTTCAAATCATCTTAGCTGGCAAATAGTTGAAAAAATTTAGAAGACTTATCAGTTCGAAAAATTGCCAAACACTTACCGTACAGCGTGGACTAAAGTACCCAGGGTAGTGGTTGGACCCGGGTAGGTGGACGGGTAACCCGAGTTATATCTGGCTTTTAGAAAATTTATTCGAGAATGATAAATAAGCATGTACGGTTTAGCTTTGAGCATTGCAAAAGTCATGCGGTATGAAGTTAATGATAGTTGGACTTTCGAGTTGAGTTTTGGCCAAACGGGTAATTGCAATTGTGAGACGATCTTTTGCGCAAGACTTTACTAAACAAAATATGCATTTGAATGTATATTAACTGCTTTTTGTTTTAAAAAAAAAACATAGACTAAGGGTGTTTTCAAGCACCCTCTCAATGGATCGGAGGTAAAATTTTAAATGTTACCATTTCACTGAGATACAATCCATCTTTTTTATTCAAAAATGTACCATTGATAGGACGCTCAAGAATTACTTTTACATTTTTTACATATCAAGCATAATAAACAATGAATTCTTAGTAAATTTCTACCCGATCCAAAAAAAATTACTATTTTATTTTTGATGCTAGACTTTTAAAACAAATTACCAAATTGCCAAGAATATAACTATTACTTAGAAATATATTTGTATATACAGGTATGCGTAATAACGGGACATCTATTTTCACCCTAACCCACCCGGTTTCTATCCACCCGCAGGTGACCCGGGTGGCATTTTTTTTTGACGGGTCCAATCACTAATCCAGGGTACTTTACAATTTAAGCTGTATATATGTGTATTATAGTCTGAGGGATGGATTTAAGTTGCACTATATGAATATTTAATATATTCTAAGTGCAATTAATCCATCTTTAGTACCCGGGTATTTTATATTCCCAAGTGCAATTAATCCGTCCTTAGTATCCGGGATATTTTACATTCTAGGCCTCCGAAAATCGTGAGAGTATTAAAAAAAGGGGCCACGTTGTACTATAAGCCAGGTTCCCAAGCATTTTCAAAAATATTGAAAAACTTTCATCACTTGCCATGTTCACTAAACACGAACGATATAAAATATTTTAAACCTTAACGAAAGAAAAACCTGGCTGGTATTTGTATGAACTACAATCCGAAATGGAACTTTGATTGGGATATAAAATTAGTCGCATACCGACTTAGATATACACATAAGAAAGGATTTTATATATATCTATATTTTATAAATTTATATCCGTGCTTTTATATTTCTTGTTAAGATTTATTGGCTGACAAGAATAATCCTTTCATTAAGTTTCTGTACAAACTAAACACACTAAACATGTTGGGCAAGTACCGTGTTTACCGAAATTTCGAAAGACAGATTCTCGAAACGACTTTATTTGCGTCGATCCTTTTAAGATTTGAAAAACTACTTGATCAAATTCGGTAAATTTATTTTATTTTATTTTACAGCTATTTTCATAATTCCTGGAACACCTGATTAAAAATTGACCGAATGCTTTTAAGCCGATTTGATTAAGTTAGTGATTTCGGCATAATAGATTCAATAAAAAATAGGGATGTTAAGTGGTCCGCAGGGGACCGGTTTTGGACAGGTTCTGGACTGGACTTTTTAAGACTTTTAGGGACCGTCTACAATCAGTCCGAAACTAGTCCAGATAATCACGTGATATGGATCGATTGACGTTTTTGACATCTCAAGTGAAAATTAATATAGAATGAATCAAAAATGATACTTTTAAATTTCTGAATTTAAATAGGCTCTAAACTA